TCTATATATTTGTTTAGCCAAAATCAAATCTTGGATGTCATCATATTTTAGTTTGAATTTTTCAACTGAGTTACTCACAGTTGTTTTCATACCTTCCCAATTACTTGGAAGTAAAGCTAGCAAAATCAATGCATGAATCTCATCATTAAACTCAATCTTAACAGATGATAATTAATTTATAATGGTATTAAAGTTGTTGAGATATTGTGTGACAGATGTGTTTTTTATCATTTTTAAGTTGAACAACTTCTTTATCAAGTGCATTTTATTATTTGTTGAGGGCTTTTCATACATTCCAGACAAGGCTTCCATTAGTCTTGTAGTAGATTTTTCTTTTGTAATGTTGTGAGTAACTCTTCTTGATAAGGATAGTCAGATGATGCCCAAAACATGTCTATCAAGAATTAACCATTCTTTTTCTTGCATATTCTCTGATTTGTTCTCTAATAGAGAAAGATAAAGTTTCTTCCTATATAAATAGTCTTCATTTTTATATTTTTCAATATCAAAAATCAGTCCCGTTAAATTTTTCAATTCCAGCAGCATTTATTTCATCTTCCATTTTTGATAATTTTGGAGTTTGAATTTGTTGAATCTGACTTCATAGTTATGTCCAAAACGATTGGAAATGACTCTGAAATCACCCAAATCAAACATTATATGGCTTAGTTCTAATCAATCAATCTTTTAGACAAATAAATGTTGCAGATGAAACTGCATGTCAGGTCAAACAATATCTACACTGCATCAGATAACCAAATAAAAACTTAGTTGTTGATATGGCTTAGATGACGTGTCATCCATGTAAATACGATAGCCCCACAGGTGATGATATGGCTTAGATGCCGTACGACCTTTATGACGTGGCTTGTGATAACGTGTATGATGACTTGATAGGTTGCGTGGCTGCTACCTATGCGAAAACGCTAATGTGGCTACTGACTAGTTGATGCCATAGCAGGTTAACCTGGTTTAGACTAGGGTTGTCATCGTACGACCTTTATGATGTGGCTTGTGATGATGTGTCTGATGACTTGATAGGTTGTATGGTTGTTACCTATACGGAAAAGTTAATGTGGCTGCTGACTAGTTGATGCCATAACGGGTTAACTTGGTTTAGACTAGGGTTGTCAGGTGAAGAAAGAGCGTGTGGTGCGTATGGCGTGTTTGTGTGCATGAGCAGTCTTAATAAAGGCGCGTGTGGGTGCGTGTGTACATGCAACACGTCAGTTATTCACTAGAGTTTCACCATTAGATTTGTTTTGTCTTCCCCTATACGGTGGTATGTTCAAAAACACGTTTTAAGAAGTTTTATTTCTGGGTTTGGAACAAATATTTTTTTTTTTCAAGAACAAACTCTGATACTGGTTATTAGGAAATTCTAGAAATCAAACACTCATAAATTTACGTGGTTTGACATTAGGAAATTCTAGAAATCAAACACTCACAAATTTACGTGGTTTGGCAACTTGCTTACTTCACGGAGCTACTGATTTATATTAATCAAACTTAGAAATAATACAAACAACAAAACAAGGAGGAGGAGAAAATTCTTCTCTACTCAACTTAACTCTCTCTAGCTCATTCTTTGTGTTTCTCTCTATTTCGTGTATATATCAACTCTTATTAGCACCATCTATTTATAGTTGATATGGAAGACAATCCTTCCCATTTTAGTCAATTATAGCAATAACTCCTACCACCATATTTAATGTTCAACAACCACTCTTGACCTTTATCATGCAACCATGTTTCACATGGCAACTAAGAGCGAAATTGTCTCTATACATAATAAAAATAAGTGATTTTTTATTTTTTTTCAAAATCTTTCATTGCTAAAAAGCATAACAACTTTTGTATTTATTTTTTTCAATTTATATTTAGTGATTTCCTTGTTAAAACTCCTCTTATGCATTAGTGTGGTCTACCTAGTAAATTACTAAGGCAAGGATTTAAAAATACTAATGAAATTATTTCATATTAAATAAAAATAATCATCAACTCACAATATATATATATATATACACAACTAATTTTTACATGTTTGTGTGAAATAAATCATTAATTGGACATAAAGCTAAAAGGAAAAATAACCATCTTAGTAATAATATAACAGGAAAAAAAAAAGAAAGGATCTCATATATAACCAAAGTTTTTTTTTTTTCTTCCAGCTGCCAACCTTAATTATACTTAAGTTGTTGCATTAATAAATATTAGGATTGTATCATCACATTGACAAAAATCTAAAAGTTGTGTTCAAAACACTATATATATTTATATTGTTCATCCTCACATTTTACCATGAACTCATTGTTTAAAAAAATTTCAATTTAATCCTCAATTTTATTTTATTTTTGCGTGAATGCATCTTTTTTAGGCCATATTCAAGGGCAGTTAAATCAAGTTTGTCAATTTAGGATAAAATTAAAACATAAAAGACCAAATTAGAAAAGGTTTCATGAATAAGTGATGGTTTAAAAGCTCACATAAAAATTTAATTTAATCCTTAAACTTTTTAAAAATTTACATATTCGGTCCCTCAATATTTTTTTCAAATAATTTTTGGTAAAATAATTTATTTTAGTTATTTTTTAATCCATGGTTGGAGAGAAGAGAAAGAGAGATTGCTAGATTATAACAATAGAAAGAGAGAAATATCATTACACCAATTCAGACCATTAAATTGTTGATCTTTATGTCATATGATTCATTTAATGAAAGAAGTTCAACTTAGATTTTTTATACCTTGAAAATGCATAAAAATACAAATCTAAGTTTGTGAAGATTTTTTATTTCAAGTTTATTTTAAGTTGCAAGATAGTGTTTTGAGGCCCCATATGAATTTATTAAGGTTCTTAAGATGTTTTTTATGATAGTATTTAGTTACTGTCGATGATAGAAAGGATGAAAATAATAGAGACAAATATATATTTGATTGAAAAGACTTACAGAGACATAAAAATAAATATGTATTCTAAAAAAATTTTGGAGTGAATTTATGTACTTTCAAAATAGAAAGTACAAAGGGAATATGTCTTTAGAAACAATATTTTTTTTTATTCATAAAATATCATTATAAAAAAACTTTTCATTCCCAAATTATTAAACTAAGACATATAATAACAAAAATAATTATTATTATTGTTTTAAAACTCAACTCATGAGTGAAATCCAAGTAGAGTCTAGGTTACTGGTTGAGGCCCATGTAACGGGTTGGATTGACTCAAGTCAGCATAAGAATAAAAAATATTATTATGATAATTTTAAAACCTGATTTGAGGTTGATTCATGGTAGACCCAATTCAAGAGTGAGATTGACCATTAACCTAGGTTGACACGAGAACAAAATTAATTATTATCGTAGTTTTAAAATACGACTACAAGGTTCACTCAGGGTAATGCTCAAGTCATGTGTTAAAATGATCAATTTAAGGTGACCCGAGTCAATATAAAATAAAAATGATTGTTATTATAATTTAAAAACTTTATCTAGAAATCAAGATCAAGTCAGTTCTAATTTTATAACTATGATTATTATATTATTAATCTTAAACTTGATATAAATTAAAGTTAAAAAATTAAATGTCAAATTATTTCTTAAAAATATATAAATTTGATAATAATATATATTAAAAATAAAATAATTTTTTTATATTTTATTTTATCTTAGCTGCTATAACCAAACAAGATAGGGATAGTCATTTTATCTTACATATTATTATCAACATAATTATATATTAGTCTCATTTGTTTTCAGTATTTTTATTTTTCTATCTCGAGATAGTAAATAAATGCTACCTAGATGTTTTGAATTAAAAATAAATTTTTATAATAAAAAATATTTAATCTTAATTTTTTAGCTATATTAGTAATTAAAATCTAGACTAATTCATAGTATGTGTTGACTGACCTTTTTCTTAAAAAAATCTTCAAGCAGACCCAATTACATTTAGAAAATGAGTTCACATGTTAGCCCTTCTAAATGGATCAAGCTCAATGCATATGGCCTTTTCCTTTTATTTTTTTTAGATTTTTTTGGGTAGTTTTGACTTATTTAAAAAACGAATAATGTATTTTTATATATGTTTTTTAAAATGATTTTTTTAATTTATATTTAAATTAATACACTTTCTCTTTATTTTATTTATTTATTTATTTTTAAATAATAATTGTTTTTTAAGTATTTTATATGTATTTAATTCTTGAATAAATTTTTATAGTTCATCTATTTTTTATATTTTATATAATTAAAATTTATTTTTAAAAATAAAAAATATGTATCTTTAAATAGTATTTATACTACGTGTAGTTTTGCAATATATATTTTTTCACTTTTACTTTATTTTATGGACATGTTTATTTGTATTATTATTTGATTATATAAAAAATATTAATAAATAAAATTATGAAATACAATGGAATAAATAGATATTAAATATTTTAATATATTTTTCTTCTTTTATTTTTTAAGATAGATATTTAATTATTATTAATTTTTTATTTGTTGATAAAAAATAATTAAATAAAAATATTTTTTAATTTATTTAATTAAATTTCTTGATTTATTTTTTATATTAAAAAAACTTGTAAAAAATGTCTATGTATTTAATTTTTTTTATTGAAAAAATAGCTGCAGGTAGGTAGATACAATCATACAAAAAGTCAATCCCATCACTCTACCGCATCGGTTTGATGAATCTTGAGTTACTTGGAGCACAACTTGATCATGATCCAGCGAGCATGCAAGATTGAATAAGATAATCACCTGATACCAGTGTTACATCATCATCACAGCACAGGTCTCCTCCCATGACCCATCATAGCTAGATAGAGATGGAGATGTGATCATAATGGTCTGCTAAATGTAATTATCACTGGAACAGTAGGGTAAGGCCCACGTGGAAATCCAAAAGACGTGAACAGGTAGATAGGGCTTGTTATTGCTTCAATAACTATGTCAAAGATCTCCTCGCTAGATTTTCTCATCATTTTTGGTTTTGCTTGCATCACCATTTCTTGTAAAGTACGCTGCTAAAAAACCTGGAACTGTGTATTTCACTGTTCTTTTCATAGCGTTACAGTATTACAGCACAACACGCTTGCCTTAAACCTTTAGTTTTTTAGATTCTGAAGAGAAAGTATAAAACTCCCTTACTTCATTTCCTTTGTTGTTTTAAAATAGCTAAAAGAGCAAAGGACTTCCTCTGAAAATTGGTGCTCAGAACCTGCCATGAACAGGAGTTGTAACAGAGAGAATCCAGATATTTTGATTGTGATGATTGCAGAGAAGCAGATAATGAAAGGTGGTGGGGATGGCAAAGAGAGGGAAATAATGGGCCCTCTCAAAAGCCTGCAAGAGAAATGAGTGACACTGCACCAAAGATAAATTTGCTTCCTTTTTCTCTCTCCATGTCCTTCGTTTTTACTCGTGTGGCTCCTCTCTCTCCCAGCTTGAGTCTTATGGGTACATTTCATGGCCCTCAGAAGCTTTTTTTGGCTTTTTGGTATCCTCTTCCTTGTTTTTTAGTGGGTTTTCTGAATCTTTTGTCCTTTATTTTCAACACTCATTCGTGTTTATGAGCTTTTAAATCTTACCGAGGGGAGAAGAATCATGAAATCTTGTTAAGTCAGTCTAAAAATCTAAATCTCAGTTTCTTGGTTTTGGGTTCTTAAAGAAAAAAACTTTACTTTTCTGATCATTTAATGCTTGGACAAGGGTGGGGTTAATGCACGAGCACCTGTTGCCTTTTTGTTTATTACCTAACAGAAGTCACCACTATTTTCTATCTTTTGATCATGAATCATGCTCTTTCATGGAGAAAGAGAAACCAATGATTTCATAGGATGGTTGTGGCTTTTGATTGTAGCTTGTCTTGGGTTCTTTGAGGGAACCTGCATATAGTGTCAACCAGTGTAATAACATTTCACTTTGTCTTGTGAGCATAATAAAATTCTTATGTCTGATTTGGGAAATGCCATGAATCTGCATGAAAATTCTAAACTCTCATTATTTTTTGTCTACTAGGTATGCTGGACAACATTGTATCCACAGGGACTTCTCTTGTTGGGTGATCGCTATTCAGCAAATGACAAGAAGGTTGGTCATTTTCACATGCCTTTTTAGAATTCCAGCACCCCTGCTATATCCATGCATTAGTTCAGGACAAACTTGAACGTTAATTTTGCTCTTCCTTGCTCCTGATCTCAACTGTTTTAGCATGCTTGTGCAGAGTTCTTTAGGTCTTTTTTCTCCTTGCTTTCCTCGGATGCTATTTTGGTGTTCTAAATACAGAATGGTTGGACTTCAGTTACGTTGTCTTTGCATCCTTCTCCCATCTGTGCTTCTACTCGAATAATAGTGCACAAGAGCTTTGGAAGCTTAAGGTACGCACATCTGAAATTTCTCCTATAGCTAACAATTTACAACATCGGGAGAGGTGTCATTTACACAACATTCTTAGATTACACCTCTCATCTCCCTTGTGCTGTTGATTTTGTCCATATCGGTCCCTCCTCTAACTCTTAAAAGGTTGATCCATGCTTTCCTCATGTATAGTTTCGAAGTCATGAGAGCATTTTCACTTGTATACAACTAGGCTAGGCCTATTGTGGGCTGTGGTGACTGCTACCAAACTGCAGACTCAACAGCCCCTAAGTCAGATATCTGAACGAAATTACACATGCAGGTCTTCTTTCACGTGTTTTAATGGCTGGTTGTTGCTTCAGTCAAATTGTAACTCGATATTGAACAAGAGAACAAGGATTTTTTTTTTTCCAGGGAGAATTGACTAGTTGACACCAATGATAATTTAATCGGCTTTAAACATTTTCACCTTGTCTCTATATGTGAATCAGTGAATGGAAGATTTAGAGTGGTCATTGATTTATTTCTATGCATGTGTGGGATGAATAATTTAATTTCATCAAAATTAAAACATGAACCTATGCTGAAATCTTTATGCAATTTCCAATGATCCTAGGGCTACACAATGAGGGATAGCCTCCTACATTACATTGTTATAACACGAGAAATTTGTCACTGGGACTTGGACCTTGCTTCACTTAAGGAAGCTATCGGTAGGTTAAGTCTGATATTCTGGTATGGTTTCCAATGAGGTAAAGAATGCAAAGAAATCTGCAATTTCACACCCAGATATTGCTTGTGTTTCATCATCCATTTTTTTTCTGTATACATATGAACATTGTTTTAATTTCCTCCTTTAATTGTGGTTCTATGGTTTACATTAAGTGTACTCTGACCTTTTCAAATCATTGCAATTTTCCAGTTGAATATTACTTGACACCAGAAATTAAATACTTCATAGAGATTGCCAGCAAAAACAACATAGAATCAGCTACAGTAAGCATGTTAGTGTTCTGTTGTTCGTGATCCTTAGTGAGAAGAGTTCCCCATAAGTGCAAAGAACGCTGTTTTGCAAGTGAAAGTGGCCTAACATACAAGTGAAGTATTCAGCTGATTTTCAAGCTATTTGTGCCTCTTGCCATGTGATTTGATCGATGCACAATATCATGGAGAATGGTTTGTTTGGTGTTCCAATAGATATGGCAGGAAGGAATTCTGTTGCTACAGATCGATCATCACAGAGAACCCCGAACTCACTTGCCCAGTTTGATTCATTCAACCTTAACAACCATAGTCAGACAGTGGTTGGATTTACCATGCTTCCGACATTGCAAGGAGAACCTATCAATGATCTCCATTCAAACATTCACTTGGCCAATCGATCTTCAGTTTTGAACTCAGAGGCATTAGTTACATCTCTTGGAAGGAATGTAGTGGGAGATACCTTACCTGGCTGTTCACGTTCTATTAGTAACACTCCGTTCGATGAGCAATTTGGGGGTGGAACAACAATTTCTAGTTCTTCACTTGCTACCCTTCTAGCCACAAGAAGTGGTCTTCAAGAAAATCCGAACAACTTGGCAATTTCAGGACCATCAAGCTACCCTTTGGAAGTGTCAAGGTCATTTGTTTCAAATGATTGCACCAATGCTTTGAATTCATCATTTGCGTCATCTTTGAATTATGGATGTGGTGAAGTATTTGGTAGTACAAATGGTAAGGAGGATTTTGACAGGTTTCCTGCTCCTGTAGAGCCTGGTGGACGAGCATCTGTAAGAGCAGGATTTCAACCATATTCGTCCTCTGGAAGCCTGCAGCTGAATAGCTGGGTAGAGCCAAATGGTGTGAATGTGAGTGCAGGTGACCCTTTTGCATCTGGTAAACCTACTAACGAGCTCTCTTTAAGTCTTTCCACATCCCAGCCTTCTGTCATAGATAGAAGTATCCCAGATCAATGCTTGGAGATAAGCTGTAATCATTTAACACGCCATTGCTTGAAAGAAACAAGGTCATGCTCTGAACAAACTTCTTCTAGCAGCAAGGAGCTTTCTTTGAGTTGTAATTCTTATAAAGCTGGTCAATTTTCACAAGTATTAGTAGGATCCAGATATCTTCATGTAATACAGGAAATACTTGCTAAAATTGCAAGCTATTCACTAGAGAATGTGGACCAGATAAGCTCTTCTACTGTTTGGTTCAAGACTGGAGCAAGTACACCATTCTTTTCAAGTTACCCTACTGAAGGAGGTATGGTGTCGATGGGTTCTGATGAATCTCCTGGTGTGAATGGTAGATTTGAAGTTCAAATGGATCCAGCACTTCAGAAACGGGCGCTAGAAGCAAAGAGAACACAATTGTTAACCCTACTACAAGTGGTATGTCAATTTAATTATTGGTACCGACTAATTATGAAGCCGTAAAATCTAGTCTAGTTATGAATCATGCTTCTGATTGAAATGGTGATAGTAACTCTTTGCATTTCCATTATAATCCTTGGAGGAGACATGCCATGCAAACAAGTTGCAATTGAAAATTTGCTGAATTCAAGCCTCGTTTTGGGTTGGCCATATATACTTCAAAAATTGCTTGGATTAACGCGTGATTATTCTATTACCACTTGTATGGTTGAAGCTAGCTAGCTTCTCTCTTGTTACAATGTCTGGGTTTGGTGGACATGACATATTTGCATGAGTAACACGCCCTATTTATTGTTTGCCCAGGTTGATGAACGATATAGCCAATGCTTGGATGAAATACACACAGTTATATCAGCATTCCATGCTGCAACTGAGTTGGACCCACAGATTCACACTCGTTTTGCTCTCCAAACAATCTCTTTCTTGTGCAAACGCCTTAGGGATAGGATTGGCAACCAAATCCTAGCAATGGGAGCTCAGTTAGATAGTGGAGACACCATAGAGATAGAAGGATCGTTTGAAAGTTCGTACTTACAGAAGCGATGGACTCTACAGCAGCTGAAGAAAAAAGATCATCCACTGTGGAGACCCCAGAGAGGATTGCCAGAACGATCTGTCTCAGTTCTGCGTGCATGGATGTTTCAGAACTTTCTTCACCCGTGAGCTCTTTTCTCCTAACCTTGTCAAGAGCCTTTTAGTATCGGTAAAATGCATTAGCCAGGTTTGACAACATGCATCAAAAGTGAGTTTTGTTACACGTTCGATTCCTTTCAGGTACCCTAAAGATGCAGAAAAGCATTTGCTAGCAGTAAAAAGTGGACTAACAAGAAGCCAGGTACATAAAGATTATACAGTCGGCTTGAATATTTCAAGAATCTTAAGGACATGCTGATAACTTGCGTTTTAATCACTTGATACTATTAAATAGATTTTTTTGCCAAGTTCTCATGTTTTCCTTTACTAAATTCCGGAAATGAACAGGTATCCAATTGGTTTATAAATGCTCGTGTTCGTCTATGGAAACCGCTGATAGAGGAAATGTATGCTGAGATGAACAGAAGAAAGGTGCACCAAATGGAGGAGGGAACCTACAGCAATCACAAAGACCAGAGTAGCATCAGCAATCCAAGATTTAATGTGAATTAGAGAGTCGGAAGTAAAAATTAGACATGGTAATGGCATAAGGAACCACTTGTTAATTACATTATTTAATATATGAAAAAAAGAAAGACATCCACAGCTGGATATGATAGTATATAAATGTTCCACAAAGTTTTCGGGTTCACAATTTAATCATGTATTGTTAGTATTAGTCCTCCATTAGCCTGGATAATTAAGTGGAATAATTTTGTATGCGTTGGACATGCCATGCCCAACCCTTTTATTGCCGAACAGATTATATGCAGTCTTCATTTAACTTATGCCCACATGATTAACTATGAGTGTGTGTGTGTGTGTGTGTGGCGTGAAGAATCATGTTTGTGTTTTCTCAACTAGTTCCATTCATTTTTACGCGGTAGTTTATCAAAATTATGCCACAATCGTTATTTAATACTACACATGATCAAGAACCGCAAATCTGTCTACGATGTCTGTACAGCACAATCGTGTATAATTTGTGATATAATTGTAAACTGATTATGCTGACCTTATGAATGGACATTCTGCGTTTACCATTATATCAGCTGTCTTGAATTCGTACTGGGATATGAGCTTATCTGAGCCAGCATCTGCTGGATGTTGTTTTACTTGGACACTTCCAAGGAATACCCTGTAAAGTTTGTCTCCTTCGCAAAAAGGAATGAAGACTCAATTCTGTTACCTAAAGATAACAGATTCTAGTCTTGTAATAGCTGTCGTATCTTTGTTCCTTCAACAATTGAAGCACGTACCTGGGAAGGGAAATGATAAAAGCTTTTCTCATTCAATGTGTGCAGTGCAGTGTATTGAATGAACAAAATTACATGTGTTGGTGAAGCAAATGGGGCTGACGAAAAGAGGGATGATATTGCATGGACGATTGATTACTCTTTTATAATTAGGTGGAGCTTTATGGATTTTAAATTTTAATTGCTCTCGGCAAAAGAAGTAATTGCGAAAATTTTGATTATTTACCATCTATATTTTAGAGCTTTCAAACCCCAGGCTGGCAAGGAAGAAGATGCGTGAGGTTTGATAGCTATTGTGTAGGTCAGTTTTTGAAGGGGACAAGAGATGATGTCGATTCAAAAACCAATGGACTATCCTTATAACCTTAAAAGAAAAGGTAGAACATGCATGTTAGGCCTTTAAACCGTATTAATTATCACTAATCTTAACCTAGAAAAACCATGACCAAACTCAGATAGTGAACTCGTGGACGTCCATTAGGAGTTCAACTTTTAACAAAAACACTAGCACTCCACTGCATACGCGCCATGTCTTTGTAGTGCATGCAAAGTTGTCAGCAATTTCTGGACACGCCGGCCCTAAAAGAACCCGCCTTGCCAGTTGCCACGCCACTCTCTGTCAATACTCAATAGATCAGAAACTGGGAGTTGGAGGAGTGGCAATGGCAAAAGTGGTGGTGGTTTTCGACTTTGACAAGACCATTATTGACTGTGATAGTGATAATTGGGTCGTAGAAGAAGGTTTTGATGACTTGTTCGCTCAGCTCCTTCCCTACTTTGCCTTGGAACCATTTCATGGTTCTTAAATATGTATCACTGATTTACATTAGTTTATCACACATTATTACTGTCAATGTTGTTTGTAATTTGCAATGACCTCTTTACAAACGGGGTTCATAACACCCTTGATTCTTTGATATATATAGTACTAGGAGAATGATTTCCTGTTTGTTTTCCAACGAAAAAACAAATAAATGTTGCTGCTTTTTGTCTCGCTATATATAATTTTTATTATTATTATTGGTTCTGGAACATTAGAGGGATTGACTATTTAGTTCTAAAATTCGTTTTTCTTTGTAAATATCAGAGACTGACATGCAGCTAGTATTTTTCAGGATAAGATAATGATGGAGCTTCACTCCCGGGGGAAGACAATACAGGATATTGCTGGGTGTTTGAAAAAAGTCCCAGGATTATCTCAGCAATTAAATCAGCCCGTGCTTGTGGGTACTGTAACACAACTGTTTATTCTTCTTCTTCTTCTTCTTCTTCTTCTTCTTTGGTCCAGAAGAAGGCTCAAGTCAATGGGATTTAGGCGAGTCCTTCCTCGGTCCCTAAACTCCCATCCCACCCCTTCCATGGTTTTGGTTTGAAACTGAGACTTCCTAGTGGAATGATATTCTTCACAGCTAGGTGTCGCCTTTGAGACATGCCTCAACTGCTATTTTCAGTGATACACATAACCATGTTAGGATAAATTGCACAATTGGTCTTTCAGGTTAAGAGTTGATACCAAGACTGTCCCATATTCTGATTTTGCCAGTTTATGTCCTAGGGGTTCGAGTATATGATGTATCAGCTCACAAATTATTAATGCTGTACAGAAAAGAAAAAAACATTGCATGCATGGATTTCTCAGGTGTGATTTAGCGATTCGAATGACTTCTTTATAGAGACATTCTTGATGGATTGCTTCTCTGAGATCAACGCGAACCCAAGCTATGTTGATGCAGAAAGAAGGCTTAGAATCTTACAATGCTAACAAGTCATCTTCTCATATGCACATCATTTGCCCTCCCAGTATGTGGAAGGCAAGTACATTAGTTCTCACTCTAATGGCGTTTTTAATCCCTACTAAAAGAAATTCTAATTTCTTCTGTGCATGAGCGCGGTAGCTCGTGTGCTTGAAAAATAACTCTTCAGGATGATCATGAATTTAGATGATGAAAAAACTAGCTAGGGGATTTTCAGCAAACAAGGCTGGAATAAAGAATTAAGGATATTTTGGCTTTACTAAAAGCTACTTTCTCAACAGGGTCTGGTGATGTGAAGGATCCTAGCTTCTGTTTTGGCTGAGGGAGAAAAACGGCTCATCTATGTTGATCCTGATTTATGCGCAGCTTTGACACTTGAAGAAATAAATGTGTTGATGCCAAGGAAGAATTTTCCACTCTGGGAACTCATTTGCAACAACAAAATTCTTGTCAAGACAGATATTCAGGAATGGAGTGATTGGGAGGAGCTTGAGACTAGGTTGCTTAATTTAACGAATAGCATCTTTATTGAAGAGCAATGCAGCGCGAGACCAGATCAATTGGTTCCAGTTGATTGTCAGTTTCAAACAAGTTCAATTTGTATTATTCAAATAATCATGTTTCATAAGATTTGTTAGAATTATAGAATTATTGAACGAGGAATGGGAAGTGGATAAAGAAAACAGAAATCCCACTTTAGGCACATTCATTATCCCTTATCCCAATGCCGCACACAATAACCACAATCGTCAAGATGAAAAGAACAGCTCTCTTCTACTAATTATCCAACCGGAACGAGATTGGAAAATAAATAAGAAGACATAAAAACATGAATTAATGATCCTAGATTTCCAACTGTTGTAATAGGAAGAGTATTACCATTAAAGATATGAATATGCTGTTTATCATCATGATTATGAACATCATGTAAAGTTGACGGACTGTCGGTCATGTGATTGGAAGTTGTATGGTCATTTAACCAAGAAGTAAGAAGATGTTTCTTACCTCGAAGACCATAAGTAGAAAGGGTAAAAATAATCATCTGTTAAACCTGCCCAAGAGTAATGTTGGAAGAACCCAAAGCAACAAGTTGTATAGATGTGGGCATAAAAATGGATTGGATAATAGTTTGAAAAGCAAAAACGTATTGATTTTGAGGGTAGACACAGCAATCCCTAATTATAATTATACGACCTTTCTTCTTGCAATAATTGCAAAATTTCTTCTTGTAATATTTTGCAATGTGTCCAGTTTTATATTGTGATGCAGATCTAGATCATTATCTACCTTAAGCAATAGGCTATATTAACCATCTTAAAATTACTGGCAGCATAATTGCATTGTTCGCGATGTAAGCAGTATTACATAAAAAATTAATTTTTTTATATAATTTAAATTATTTTAATACGTTAATCTTAAAAATAATTTTTAAAAAATAAAAAAATATATTATTTTAATACATTTTAATATAAAAAATATTTTAAAAAATAACAGTAATTACAGTCCAGACAAGCAAAACAAGCAATGACGTGAAACGTTCTTCTTCACAGAAAAGCTCACCCAGTCAAACCTTCAAAAATGAGACAGGTTGGCTCTTAGAGAGTATCATTTGTAATGTTGCTAAAGCTTATTTGAAATCTAAGAATGCACCGACCTATAATAATCATTCCATAAATTAATAAAATTGGGATAAAATTGCTCAATAGAGAGATTCACCTGGCAATAGTTTTCAATTTATAATTCTAATAAAAACTTTGGGGCGTAAGTATCTTGATAATAAATTCTCCAAAGGTAATCCCTCATCATCTTAGCAGTAGTGAACTATGAGATACAGTGGAGTTGAGTGGCCAGGAAGCAATTATGGCAACCTTACTTTCCTAAGAACTAATTTCCTTGGGATCAGTGGGAGTCATAGACATCCAGAATTGGAATTCCCAACTAGTATAATTCTTGCCAATAATAGAATTTTCTCCTGACATGAGAACCACAAAAAAGTGACAAGAAAAGAAACATCACCACAGGTAAAGGACCTGTCAATAGCCACCAAGCTAGAGATGGTTGAGAACTCCATACTAGATAACCACCGCACCACGGAGAAACAAAGAGACATTTAAAAACTCCACAGCCAAAAAATAAACCTCCAAGTCAGAGAACCTCTTCTGTCAATACTCAGAAAAAAATACCATAGTCTTGTTTTCTACCGTTACCCACATAAAAGTACCAGAAAAGAAAAGGGAACCAGAAAAAATTCAAACAAGCCAAGATAATATTATAAAGAGAATTTGAGGCTGTAATATCATGTCAAACACAAGATTTAGGTGTGAATACTCTCTTTATGAGAATTGCTTTCTTTACATGGAGACTGGAGCACACGTTACAAGGCTAAAAATCAGCCATTATATCGGATTATACAAGATAAGAATAAAGTCTATCAATTATATATAGCTATCCTAAATAAGATAACAGGTATTAAGCCATCAATTTTGCGACTGATTTTCTTAGAAATGACTTTGCTAATGACAAGTTTATCATCATTGAGAATCAGAAAATGACAAAAGAACACTTGAAGCCTTGAACCACACATAGCACCCTCAACCACCCCGCTTTCATGAGTGGTAGGAGAGCCCTACCATCCTGGACATTTCATGGCGGGTTGTGATTTCATTTTTTATGCCAAAACGCAACCAATCAAGATACATGTTGTTCATGAAACTTCTCCAGCTTGGCCAGTCAAGAATAATACCTAATGCCAGAGGAATATCCTGCTATTATATCTAACAATATTGACGC